CAGGTAGTGACAATAGGCCTTTGCTTAAAGCAGCTGGAACGTGTGATAATACAGACAAGAGTGCGTGTGTGGGAGACAGTCAGAGTGTCAGTGTCCGTGAACAGTACAATATATAGTTTGACAGGAATATATATGTTTGCCTCATACTGGCTAGAATAGAATTTTCAAACTCGCTTTTGACGTGTGAGTGGTCAGACGTATTTCGGTTGCTTACAACTATTCAGATAATAAGCAGTTATGCTCCAAATCTTCTGGAAGAAAAGGTGCAACGTTACTACTTAAAGACAGACATACAATAGTTAATAATGTCTCACTTCTGTACGGACATGGAAACAGCAACAATATATATACATACATAAAATACTCGTAAAGAACCATTCTAAAGAATTATGAGAGACAAATTGTCATAAAATAATACCCAAAAGCAAAAAACCATACAAAATATATGTATTATCCATACAAAAGATGCTTTCTACGATTTAATATTAATAAGGAGCTTTTGGCAAATAAAACAGAGACATTAGTGTTGGTGAACATAAAACAAAAGTTCTCGATATCATACATATTTAAAAAAACAAAAAACATCTAGATTTAACAAATGCACTCATTAAAAAGACTTTCCCTGATATTGTCATATGATACGCAGTGAAACGTGAACCTCATCTTCTACGTAGCCTTTACAATAAAAAGAGTTTCTATTTTGTACAAGGGTACATTCATATCGACCCGTTTCAATTTTAATTGGGGCCACACCGAAGCTTGGCAAGATCCGACCTGTAACCTCTTGGCAGGTTCCTTAAAAAATAATCTTCTGTCTTTTAATCTTGTTTAAAACACTTATATACTCTTAGTTTGTTAAGAGCACTTTGCACCTCTACCTTATCTAACTTAGATTTCCGATTTATAACAAAAGTCATTCATACATACATGTACATTGTCACATACCAACGAGTTATTGAGCATTTTTATGTGGAACATTTAACAGATAACCTAAACCAATATCATGAAACTTCTTTCCATTCCAACTTTTACATCCTTTCCGCCCCATATAAACGTCCTACCTATTTACACGACTTACACGACATATTTTTAAGTCGACAACATTGTCTTGATACAATTTTTCCATTGTCTGACAATAGACGGCATCCAACCCATATCCCCATTGACTGAAACATTGCTTTCTGTTTCTGAGAGAACAGGTATAGCTTTACTACATAAACGTTAAAACGCACCCCACAAAGAGTGCGTTCACGAAATTAAACGAATCTACTAATAGCAGCGACGGCTGAGGGGGTTAGATGGGTGATTTTTGTAAGCTGGCGATTAGGCGAATGACTGAGAATGTGGGTTTTGAATCCCGCATGGGACTCAACCCAACAAAAGTACTAGACTCTGTACTTAACTGAAAATAACGTGTATATAACGTGTGTTACATTTAACACTTTCTAAATGGCATTGTGTATCTATATTTATTGCAGACGTGCACTAAAAATCAACAGATAATTTGGATGGAATATGAACTTATACGTTTGGGGCAAACTTCGTCTGTAAAAGAAATAGATGTCACTGTTGAAATAAACTCGAATCAGATCAAACAATTATAATCAGATAGGGTTCGCTCGTCATCATCCGTACATGTCAACAGTGGAGGGCGTTAACAGTCCAGGTAGGTGTGTTGTGTTTCGTCACTAACTTTGCCTTCTATTTCACTGTTAACTGTTCGATATTAAGGGTCAAATCTTGCGTGTATATCTCCCAAAGTACCAGGATGCTTACCATGGCAGCCATACTTTCATTTATGCAGTATGTAGCTGTTACATTGCAGCACAAATTCCTACTTTCGCTTTAAAACTTCATTCACGATAGTCATGACTCACCATTGTTATCTCGTGGGTATGTTGGGCGGTGGGGTAGCCTAGTGGTTAAAGCGTTGGCTCGTCACGCCGAAGACCCGGGTTCGAATCCCCACATGGGTACAATGTGTGAAGCCCATTTCTCGTGTCCCCCGCCGTGATGTTGCTAGAATATTGCTAAAAGAGGCATAAAACCAAACTCAGTCAGTCAGTCGTGGGCATGAAACAGTCATAAGTTTGAGATACTGTCAAATCGTCCCCATCTTTGCTTTGTATTAGCTGTAAGGCAAGTCACTACAAGTACTAGTTATTCATGTAAACAGCAACCCACCTTGACTGCTGATACTAAACTGATCGGCAAAAGAAAGTATACCAAAAGTTACCATTTCTCAAATGTTACAGAAATAATTTTGAAGGTAAAACAAATTATACACTGAAACATGTCGCCCTAACGTAGTAATTTTATATCTGCAGTGAGATTTACTTTCACGTCGTGAATAAAACGTCGAAGTGGTCAAGTGTATAAACCATGATTTTGGCCTCTGTCAGAGTTTCACATGCACTAAGGGTATAAAGTTAGTGTGCAGACAGGTTACACATGCAGTGTGAAAATGATCACCACAGATATGCCACGACTATCAGCAGTTGAACGTGAGAGGGCCATAGGTATGCTCCAGATGGGGTCGACACACGCCAACGTTGCAAGAACCTTCGGCTGCACCCGTGTAGCCGTCTCTAGACTGATGCAACGTTACTGGCAGACGGGCCAGACACAGGACAGACCAAGAAGTGGGAGACCGCGAGTAGCAACGCCAGCTGAAGCCCGGCATTTGAGGACGTTGCACCTCAGAAACCGTTTCCTGACGGTAACGTCATCAGCGGCAAATTCCCTTGATCACCGTGTCAGTCGATACACGGTGGCTAGACGTCTTCGGGCAGCAGGTATCCGAGCCTACAGACCCTTCAAAGGACAGGTGTTGACCCCTGCACATAGACGTCACAGATTGCGTTGGGCCCCAGTTGTTCGTCGTTGGCGACGACGAGAGGAACAACGTGAGCGGTCTACAGTGATGAGCTCGTTCTCCATTTATGTACCCGATCGAGCACATGTGGGTTGCACTAGACAGACGCGTGCGGAAACGCCCTAACCCACCACACATTAGACAGCAACTTGCACAAGCTCGTCAGGACGAATGGCGTCGCATACCACGTGACCTTGTCCGACGTCTGACGTTTTCAGCTAGAAACAGGCTGCGTGCCTGTATTGATGCAAGGGGTGGACATACAGGACACTAAAGTGATGGTAGTGAACATTCATTGTGTGTAACTCAGTACCTGCTTATCATCTGTGTTTCAAAACTGGTTTTCAGGACGCCCAGTGAACTTGCGCATGTCGGACGCCACGTGTTTCTGTAGTATGAGTGCGATGTTTAGCTCAGCCTGAGTAAAGATGTCTATCTATTACATCACTCTATTATGTCACCAAACCTGGCACATAGTTTGACCTAGTAAGAAACTGATGCCACCTTCTGAAGTTTAGATAGTATACCATGGTTAACCAATGTAACTAAGGGCAGTTCTAGACACAACTGCAATCTTAGATACAATCACAAATTGCAACCAGGAGCCGGTGTGTGTGTATTGGAGAACTGCAAGAACACATCACTGTGATGTTGGAACATGAGTTTCGTTCCTGATGCCTGTAGATAGTATGAGATTTTAAAAACACATAATTCTTCGAGTTTCCATGGCAACACGTCTCCGATATGATACAATTATAAACTCTTGTAGAGGTCGATATCGGTTTTTATTGACCTGAGTAAAATAATATCGACCGAGCTTGCGATATAATTGTTTTAATATATAATGAAAGAGAAACGGGTTTTAAACACATAATTCTTCGAGTTTCCATGGCAACACGTCTCCGATATAAGTTTATATTCGAAAAATATAATTGCTATTGCGGGGGATATTCATGATGGTGCTCTATTTAACACATGCATAATGACAAGAAAGATAAAAAAGCAAGGTAAAATAATGTTTTTGGGTTGCATCACTGAGACAGTTATTTTTATCAACAATCAAAACAATTCCCTGGTGGATATCTTAATGATAAATGGAATGTTATCTATATTCATTGGGACGTTTTATACATGATTGATAAAACAATACAACAAATTAGAATATCGTCACTCTGACGCTGCTTACCAGCCGCAGCTTAGGGTTCGGTGTGCATGGACAAATAAATCACATGTTGACTCAAATCACAGGTGATCTTATCATTGTTTGATATGCAATCTACACGTTCCTCCTTATACCGCGGTCGTTTGCGTTTCTTATTAATGTACTGTGTCTGGGTCTACAAATCCTCTCTCTGGGTGTTTATTGTAGGCAGCAATTTAGAATCTGTACTGTAAATATGCCATATATTTTGTATGAATAGTTTTGTTGACGTCCTGTGTCTACAATTCTCGTTCATTGGGAAACCGAAACACACGCTATATCCGGGGTAATGGCTTATCAGATAATTCAATGTGACTCAATGGTAAGGTCAAAATGTAACACTCGGTAGGTTTTATTGCTGCGTTCTGATTACATTACACTGTTTGAATATAGGTACATTTTATTAAGCTGTGTATTCCGAGCATTGAAATATCATTATAACGAGAAATTATTCGTATTTTTCACATTTATTTCACATCCATATTGTGTAGGTATACCTCTAAAATATGACAAAGACAGAGTCAATCTCGATTACGTCCACATCAACACAGAAGGAGACCTGGTCAACAGGGAGTCGGACACCAGACCTACAAGTGACGGGAGACTGAAGAAGTACTCGGGCACATACAGCACTGACACTCAACCCCTGGATGGTTGTCCCAAGTACTGGGAGGTAGAGAACAGGGTCACTCTGGACAAACCGCTCACAGAAAGGAACCTCATCCTGGCAGTTGGAGTAGGTAGGGAGGAGGAGAGGGAGGTGCGCCAATGTATACATAGACGTCCTCACTCCTACTGTCTGGCCGTCTCCCACTGTGGCCGATGTTCGGGGTGTATAACCCATCTTGCCTCACTGTCAGCATGAGACTTGTAGTGGGCAGCGACATCAACATGACAGAGGAGAAGAAAGCGGTGATTGTCAAGGCGCTGTCGTGATGGTGACAGTGATGGTGATTTGAACTCACAGACTCTCGAATTAAATTCTACTAAGGAACACTTCATAACATGATAACATCTTCTCTATGAAAAAAGACGTTTACAATGATCACGTACATTGCATCGCCATGTTTTTACATACACCTCTCTCAAAGTGTACTATACTCCTCACACAAAATTAGTATTTTCAGTGTAATATCTTTATCAATGTCGATAGTGATTTTTGCCGGCATGTTACTGAAAGGTAAATATTCAAAGAATACATAACCTTTAGTTACTGTCAAATTTAATTATCTGATAACATTGATAACATCCCCCGAACACAACCACCCTCAGAAACAACAAGCAAACTGTGTGGCATGAATGTGCTTCACATTTCACACATGCAATCTGGTCGGTTAAAACCTACCTGTAATTATTCCTCTGGTACAACAAGCAGGTCCTAACTATATTTCTATGGATAATAATGCCTGTCCATGGATGATAATGCCCGAGAAGTTTGTGTTGCTTAATGTTTGTGAGGAGTATATTTACACAACACAAAGCCAGTAGTAGCTTACAATGTACTGCCCTAATGAGGAAGAACATCCAGCACGGATAATTATGAAGTGACACGACATGCAGGAATATGTGTGCGTGTTCAGCATAGTTAAAACAATTAAAAAAAATACTAGAAAATGTGTTCTTGTTAAAATTCCGTATATCAATAAGAAAGTTCACGTTAATAAAGTGATGCAAGCACATATTGCAATAGTCATTGTATTTTCGAGTCTTGCAGTTGAACAGGACTACACTCCTGTTCTAAACATACAGGGAGTGAGTGAGTTTAGTACCACGCCGCACTCAACAGTATTCCAGCCATATGGAAATAATCGAGACTTGACCAGACAATCCAGTAATCAACAGCATTAGCATCGATCTACCATTTGGGAACCGATGACATGTGTCAACCAAGTCAGTTGGTCGCCTCTTACCGGAAGAAGAAGAAGAAGAAGAAGAAGAAGAAATATAGTTTATTAATGTGTCACATGCTGCAGAACATTAAAAAGGACGGTACATTATTGCGAGAGTTTAAAAGCAGCATCCGGCCATAAGGCCTATGAGACACAAATATCACAGTTGTATAAAACATTAGTAATAAAATAACACCGACCCATACACACACGCCGGCCGAACTGTATACACAAACACAAAACGCATACACCTTCACACACCCACACGCACGCACACATACACATACACACACACACACACACACACGACACCTACGACAGACAGACCCACATACACGCGCACGCACGCACACACACTTACACATTCTCACCTAAAATGCATAAATTACGTAAATAGCAAACATGTTGACCTTATTATTATAAGTACATTGTAGAGTTACCTATTCTACAGAAATATTCCGGCGCCTAAACATAGTATGGACGAGTGCGGCAAGGGGCTTTACGAACTGGTTATTTGTAAGTAAGAATACCATTTTATCTACTGCTGACATAGATGAGAATGTAGGAAGGACACTGGTTATTTCCTTCCAAAGATTATATCTGAGATCTGAATAATAATCACAGTTAACCAGAAAATGTAATTCATCTTCAACGGCATTGCTACTACAGCGAATACACACCCTTTCATGAAGGGGAGACTTCGGACGAGAATATCTACCCAATTCTACCTCTAATGGCAAAGTGCCACAACGGAATTTGCTCAAGATACTACGATGTGACCTAGGTAGAATTGTTTCAACATAATGTTCAACTTGTAAAAAATCTTTAAAAAGACGATAAGTACGTAATTTATTTCCGTTGTCCTGCCGTTTATCATTCCAGAGCCCAGAAAACCAATCAAAACTGTCTAGTGCCTTAAGGTGTTCTTTAGCCGCAACAAACTCCTCATGTGAAATACTAAACAGATCATTTATAGGTAAATGAAAACTAATTAATAATTTACTGCGAGCATGGGTTACTGAAGATCAATATTCTAACCCGGACCTTCACGGGTATCTAAACATACAGAGTGACAAAGTGCAAAAACTGCACAGCAGTTTTGCAAATACGAGTGAACCCACATGCAAGTTGGTGCTTCCCCCGTCAGCCATGTCTTGCAAGAGAATTCGTGAACATATGTTACGTATAATTCAGTGACTATTTCAGTTTCAGATCGTTGGTTCAGGTTCACGACAACTGTGGTAATATTTCGCAAACTACACAATGGACGATGCGAGATACAGCCATCACATAGTATACCCACTGCATTTATAGAGTCGAACCGAAGCGTGAAGAGAGATGCTACCAAACCGCCTGTTTTCAGCCAAAAAACGGATAGCTTCTTAGAAATGTTCTACAAAGGTTTGTCTTATGAAACATATAGGATGTCGCTGTACAAGAGGTATTTTTTTTATATCTCAAGAGTATTCTGTCCAGGGGTGATAACCTGTTAATTATATTATATTTGTAATGTTGGCAGTTTCTTTATTGACTTGAAAGCATTAAGCTTGACTGCTGTGGAAATGAAGGTAGCAATAATTCGGCTGTCTCAGATCTATTAGCTAAGTGTTAAACCTATACATATTATGCAAGAACTGGACTTTAAGGTGTGTGGCAATGTTACTTACATATATTCATATCCAGACCTTCCTTCTTAAACTTGTATGTGTTTCTCTGAAGCTTTGATTAACACCAAGCCACTTCTGGCTACAAAGAACATATTGACCAAGAATGAGAGATGTCAAGGTTGGCCTGACAGAACGATACAAGTTCTGATAATGGCGACAGAACCAGAACCAACACCAGCACTAGCTCCAACAACACCACTACTGCCTACACAAACAACACCCTCACCAGCACTAAAAGCTGCAACAACACCAAAAGCAGAATCAGCACCAGCTCCAGTAACAGCTTTACCAACAGAAACAACTCCAGATCCAACAACACCACAACTACTATAACCAATATAAACACCAATACTCGTATTTTCATAAATTAACGTACCCTCAATCCCCAACCCGGCGTCGCCACGTCTATATTCCCATAAAGCCCATTGTCCTCTAAATGGAACAATTCCCACGACTACGTCTCTCTGGGCTTAATCATCCGGGCGATTCAGCAGACACTGCCTCATGCAGTTCAGATCACTGCCTGTCTAACCGAAACAAATCATGGAACATGTTTTGTTATTCACCACGAGGGCGAGAACACATTTAACACTGGGCCTAAACTCGATACCACTACAGTGATCGAATTAATATGAAAAATCACACCTGCAGTAGTTGAGCTATGTCGTAACTAAAACCACAACATTCAAATTAGTTACGGTTACATTACATACAATATAAAGTTGAAGAATCACATTACTCACAGAACTATCTATAACTAACAGTGTAAGAAATGCATTACCTATAGTTAAACTATCTACAAGACACTGTGGACGACAGTGTGGGTTCGTCCGTTTGTCTGTGTGTCTGTCTCTGTGTGTTAACATTACGATTACAATTTCACTGTTGGCGAGAAATAGAAACGGTCTCCTGTTGTAAATTCTCACCCATGTTTTCTGCAAGCATTTAGAGTTTTGTAAATCCACTTTCTTTCAGAACATCTTGATGCTTATGCAAGACACAAAACAAGGCACCATATTGTGATAGTAATAGGGTATATTGTGATAATTATGCAAAACAATGGATGAAGGGCTTATACGAGGTATTTAACTAACTATAAATAACCACTGTATCAACACCGTCTGAGAGAGATCGTTGTTCCATAGATATATTTCACATGAAATAGTTGAATGTTGAAACATCCTTTTTTATCACGTTCTATTTCAGACTGCTATTTTCAAATGTTGATTGAGATTATGACAAAGTCTTCATTGAATGCAGGGCCTGCTGATTCTGAGAGAACCGGTAAAACCTTTACACTTTACACACGACACCTTACAAACATACTGTACATAGCCCTCTAGTCGAGAGAAAACACGTCTACTACATGTTCCAAAGTAAAATGGGTCTACGGTGTATAGCGAGATTTAGATTTAACTTATTTGTATGACACATTTCATTTCACTGGATTCTATAAACACTGGTGACGGTAGGGTAGTCTAGTATGCTCGTCCGGTTCGATTCCCTAGATTGGTACAATCTGTGAAGCCCATTTCTGGTGTCCCCCGACGTGGTATTGCTGGAGTATTGCTCAAAGCGGCGTAAAACCATTCTCACTCCACACATTCACTTCACTATATAACCCTTAAAACACGTCCAGTATAGTTAGTGACTGTTTAGGGTGGTATGATTCAATGTATTTACATTCACCATGCAGATGCTTACTTTAACAACAGTCAACAGTACATGCATAGGCGTCACACAGCTTTTCTGCTGTGGAGATGTAATCAATCAAATGATAAAAATACATTCTGCAAATTACAATTGCCTCTTTTCTGTGAACATATTGAATGATCTGTATGTGTCACTGTATTCGATTGTTTATTGTTTGTTATTTGTGCCTCTTGTAAACATACTGTATTAGGATTTTTGGGGTTTTCATTTGTTTGTGTTTTGCTGGCTTTTTATCACATTGTTCCTATTTTGTAAGTGTTTTACAGTAAGACCCCAGTTGTATAGATGCATCCTCATGATGATTGGTCCTGACTCAGTTATAGCTGGAATATTGCTTGGTGAGGCAGGCATACAAAACAAACAATAGACTACATGATTGTGAATTATATTATTATTAATGCGTTTGAGGTATACTTCATTAGCAAGAGAAATTAACAAAGGATGGGTGTGTACTTGACTATGTTGTTTTATGCTTTAATTTTGTGAGCGTGAGTGAGTTAATATTTAACCTCACACCGGCAATATTACAGCCACACCGTGACGAGAACGTGTTCTCATCTATACATGAGACCTATACCATACCATAAAACCTGGCGTCAAAGGAAAACAAAAGGGAAACGGTTTGGGTTAAAACTAGCAACTTATAAAAATGCAATGCAATACAACATAGAGATCGCCAGCAACTGAAGGTAGATCACCATACCAGGGCTCATTGGGATTTACACAGTACCGTTGTTGCCTATATGGACCTGGCTGGATTTTCATCATCCCTTCAGCTGCTGACGATTATTTAGAAATTTAGCTTGAACATTAAGATAACAAGTAATGTACTTAGTCTATTGAAAAGATGGTAGATATAGAAATACTTTGAATGATATCTCAGTGCGACGCTGCATATACGACAATGACGGAGTCTCAAGGTCCAGGAACACGCGTTAGAAAATGCGTCAACAAAGCGATCTCCGACTTCGGGGACACGCGGATTCGACGAACCCGGATTCGACGAAACTGTACGCCTTGGCAACTGAAAAACAACATTTACTTGGTCGTGCTTTAATCATTGCGACCAATCTTCGATTATTTCAATTAACTTGACCACCACAAGTAATTAGGGCTGTAACGATGCATCGAACTATCGACAGAGTGAACGTCATTAACAGTTAATTTGTGGTAATGACCTAAAGTTTATATATATGCTGAGGCTGAAACATGTTTTACACTTTCTTGTCTGAATGCAATCATACTAATTTTTGTCAAAGGTCGTTATTGGAAAGACAAATTCTGTAACTGTAAAGACATTCAAAATGAATGAAATAGGACTTATATGTACACTCTCAGCGGTACAATAATATTTTGACAGAGAGACAGATTTTTCAAGTCCAATCTGTGTTACAGCAATATTACAGGTAGAACACATACA